AACTAGTCTGAAGCGAACGACAAACAATATATTTGTCATCACCCCCTCTGCCTGTCGAGGTACTAACTGCATATCCACGTGGCCCAAATCCCTGTATAAGGACAAACAAACTTTCATTCCTATAATTCGTGGGCATACTTGAAGACTGGCTTTAAATCAAATTATCTAAAGGAGCAATTCGTTCAGGCCATTCTTCCCTTACCTACAAAATAGGCTGGTAAAGTGACACCTATTAGAAAACAACTACTCACCTGGCTAATACCACGAAGGGCGTTGGATTCTATCCAGCAGGCGTTATTTGTATCTTCAGATTATTTGATCCAAAGCCAGTCTTCAAGTATGCTCACGTATACTATCGAAATGAAAATGGAATATATTACAATAACCTTTTCTGAACTTTTATGCAGGAATCAATGTGTTCTGCTTCCCTGAGACAACCTACCACGTTATGAAGTGTGAGCAAAACTAAATCAATAAGTAATCTACTGAGTTGTGGGCTTATCCCAGAAAGCTACTGCGTAAAATAAACCAATGAAGATCATGACTGATCACCAACGTATCTATTTATAAATTCTGCCTACGAACTCAGTGATCAATTCAGAAAAATCATCTTGCATCCTTTGAATGGTTCACATTTCGGAAAGGTATGCCGTCTTCTGTTTGAAAAAAAAAAAAAAAAAAAATCTGAAATCGCCTAGGAAAAAAACAGTTAGTCTGTTACAAATCCTAAATTTCAATTTCTTGATTTCAATAATAGAAAACTGTTGGGTTATATTTGCGAAGTATGAGCTGGTCAGGCAATATCCTCCGAAGCCCCGATATATTCGGGAGGGCTCGCCAGCATTATCAACCAACGACCACTCCCCACATCGTGGGGTAAGTGATCATTGGGTCCAAGAATCATGTGCCCCGATCAAGCGCAGTGAGCCAAGAATGACAACCTTCTGCATCTGGTCGGCTAAGATTTCTGTCTTAGGGTGGAGAACAAATAGTTTCAATGAATTTGGCACTTATTGTTTCCCACTACGAATTCAATTCCGTAGAAGTACCGTAAATGCTGATATGCTGATATAGCATTCTTAGGGCCGCGTTATGTCGATGGATATAGGCTGAGACCGCATGTGCTGGACATGCTGATAGCAAGTGCATTAGGGTCTCGTGCGCCTCGCGGCAAGCCCTGCATTTTGTGTCAGGAACCTCTATACCCATCACGCGATTGCGGTAGACTAAGATGTTGAAGACATCATCCTGGTAAGCCATGATGGACCCCTCAGTTTTCGACTTCAGCCCACTCGACTTGAGGAATGCAAAAGTCAGGCGCTTTGATGAGCCAAAGTCTCCAATGTTATTGAAAAGGAGTCCATGCATTGGCATATCCTTGTGTTTCCGCAAATGTGAGGTGATATCTGCGGTTTTCATATGAGCTTTTTGCTGAAAGGGTTTCAACTCGGTGACAGAGTTGTGGTCACTTCGTTCAGTGTCGAAAACTAAACCAGGTTCATCAGCTGCTCGGGCAGCTGCCCTAAAGAGAAATGCTCCAATCTCATGGTCACGGACCATGCAGAGAAGGGGATCCGAACTCCTGACGACTTCACAGGCTATATCCAGTACCATTCTGTCATGTAGACACTCCAAACTCGAAAGTTCACGGTCTTCCTGTTGTCGGGGTGAGTACAACCGTGGAACGAATGATTTGGGATGCAAACTTCTATAGAGAAGAATCATTTTTCGGGTCTTCACGTCGGGTTGATACAGCTCCTCGTAAGTCCACTTCACTACTCCAAACGAGTAGAGTAAGATTGGAACGGCAAGCATATTTGTAGCAGCAACTTTTTTTCTCCGACAGTTCCGTTGACCAGGTCTGTTGAAGTTTGTGCTGAAACTTGCTGCAGAGAGAGTTCTTCACTGCTGTTACCTCTTGTGAGTCGCGTTGTCCCACCCCGAGGTGGCATCCAAATTGTGTAGGATGCCACAACACGTGGATGCTTTTGGAATAAGCGAGAAGGTTTCTCGCGGAACCTAACGTTTCCGTGATACTTCTCGCTCGTCTTACTAGTGACTTTCTAGCAGTTACTAGCATCCGTATCCTATTGAAGCAGTGCTGTTTGGTGGTCAGCAGCACGCTTTGACTTATATTGTGATGGATACGTCGTAGTTTGGCGACTATTCGCCGCACTGTGGGCGTGAAAGGACCGTTGGCCGCCCTGTAATCCATCACACATTGGATAAGAGACGCGTATTGTCTTGCCGACGTGATCTTAGCCTCCATCTTGTGTACAAGCCGTTTAACTTTCCGAAAGGCAAGTCCGGGATTTCATCCTTTCAATTCGGAAAGCGATTGAACGACGCTATTCACATCGGTGTTGATTTGCCGGATGTCAGCGTCTTCTGTTGGAACACTATGAACCTCCGCATCCAAACAAGCCAGTTCTTCTGGCTTCAGGGGACTTTATTCTGTGGAGCGCCCTGCGTGTTCTGATTGACTCCATTGTTGGCATGATGCGAGTCTCTTCTCCAGCTGTTCCAGTGGATGGTAGAACTGTCTCTTCCACCACTTCATTAACAGGCTGGGAAGAAGCTATTTAGCCCTGCGGTCGAAGATAGGATACGTAATCCCTAAGATTTTGGGCGGAAAAGGCGGCATGCTCCGGATGTGTTTCACACTACGGAGCATGCAACCTCGCCATGTACCCTCTTCGCGCAGGCTCACTATTCTTGTAGCATTGCAGGCTTTCTTTCAGTTCATGCGTACACTCAAAGCGTCCGTTGTCATTGCCAGGGTTAACATCGGTAGGCAAATCCTCATTATGGGCCCCACCACCTTTCCTCTGAACCTTCCGAGTGTATCGATTGTGGGGGTCCCTTCCTCAATTCCTAGGAATCAAGTGTTGAGTCCACGGGTGGTTAGCCTAGTGGAACCACGGCCGGCACCGGAGGGAGAATAGTGTTCTCCTTCTCGGGTGGGCATGGACTGTCGGTCGGGCAGGTCATGCTAGTCCTAATCTAGCTCTAGTCTTGCATTAATTCAGGCAGACTGTGACATCATCACATCAGTTAGGTTGCCTCGCAGCTCGCCTAGGCAACCAGTGTGTATCTGTTACCCAGCGGTTAACCATTCAGAATGTATCAAATTGTCACGTAGCGATCTCAAAATGTTACGTAGCTTGCCAGCTAATCGGACCGCATGCTTCTGCATCTCAGAACATCGTGGCGGGAGATTTGAATTTTCTGTCGACATGAATAATTCAGGCAGACAGACGACCAGGCGTATCCCTCAACGAGACAAACGTTTCAGGGCTGAGGGCAAGCTTGTATGGGGCGATGGAATGTACTTGATGTTTATCGGATCGGATCGAATCCAAGCAATTCACATACTCATCAGAAGTGATTTTATCCTTCACCACAGATAATTTGATCCCTTTCGCCTTCTTTGTTACCCTCAAGCATGAGATGATTTGATTAATTTCATTCTCATCATTGGCATTTCATTCAGATCTTTACTATATCCTGGATCAATTCGACAATATTAACCCAGGATGTATAAACTTCAGGAAGAAATTCCAAAAATCCATGCCACGGCCACCAGTTGCTCGGGTAAGTGGTGGCGCAACTCACCAAAGGCCAAGGGTGTTAGTGACCATCCCTGCTCATATATTTGCTATCATTATTATTATCATCATCATCACCAGAAAAACCCGTTTTCAAAAGAATATTGAACATGTAGAAATCTCTTCTTCTTCAGGACAGGTAAATGAAAATATATTTTCGGAAACGGAGTGAGGAATTGAATTCAGTATTATTGAATTCTGAAACGAACTTCAACTTTATGTCAGTGTTTTTTTCGGATATGATTTTTCAGAAAGCTCAAAAATTATGCTTTTTTTAAATTTTTCCGACTTTGGATATGAATCGAAGAGAAAATACTTCATTGTATACATATTGTTCGTAATGTCGAAATGTGAAAAAATTCTCGAGATGTGAAGACATACCAAGAAATACTTGTCAACTAGAAACTTTCCAGGATCAATTGAAAATTATCTGGCATTTTTCTGATGAAAGATTCAATTTATATACTGACAAGGAATATTTCATTATGTAGACATCCTGGTAGTAAACAAAGTTGAAACCCAACTCTAATTCTTTGAAGTTTTTTTTAAGAAATTTTTCGTGGAATTACTTATGTTTCTTTTATAAAATCATCACTATTCCTTCAAAGATGACCCTTATTGGTCTACAAATTCCATAGGAAATCGCTCATTGATATTGGATATTTGTGAATGTAATTACTCAACTTTTTCGGAAATTTCAGTAATTTTTTTAGGAAGCCGAAGAAGTGGAAAGCTAAGACGCTTTTTCTCAAAAACTTATCTCGTCTTGAAAATTTTGTGTTCCAAATATTAAATATAGGGTCAATGGTAAATCTAAAGTATTTGAATACAACTCGACGTTTCGGTTTATCATTGAACCATATTCATGGGTGCGTAGGTTCTATTGATTTAAGCCAGAAATGAATACACAATGCACTTTAAATATTGAATTTCTTGCTGTTCTAAGTGGTTATCAATGGACTTCACGGGCTAAATTGAATACTTCATGATTCATTATTGTGCCTGTTTCTACCAACACACTCTCAAAAATTGAAATTTGGTCACAAAAGCATCAAGAAATCCATCTATATTGTCATAATGAAAATTCATATCATAAAACAAATAAAGAGATACATGGACTCTTCAGAAGTAAAAATTTAAATCTACTTCAAGTTGCTCGAAGTATAAAGAATTATTGCACTCAATTCCGTGTAATATACTTTGCTTATCTATATGAGAACATGAATATTGCAACTGCAATAGTTGATAATCCAGGTATCGAACATTCAAATATGGAACTGAATTGTTATCACACTGCATAATGGACCGGCTAAATTGATCAAGAATGAATTGTAATTTACAAAACGTGATCGAACATTCATTCTCTAATGGGTATGATTTATATAAATACATGGTTTTTTGAAACACTAAGCAGTTGTGATAGTTGACATACACAAGAATAACTTAATAGAAACATGAAGACGGTAATATATATTGTATTATAAGGGATTGACAGAAATTTTACCGATATTTTCTTTGCAGTTCACATTAGTTGGTATTTGCCTTACCATTCTGGTAGTATCAGGTGAGTTATCAATTTGCTACAAAAATCAAATGAATTTTTCATTCAAACTATATTACTATTTTCCATTTCACGAGGGGATTTCCTTAGATATCAAATCAAAAATGTTGAATAACAAAGATGACTATTATTTCTTGTAATCTGATCATTCTGAGAGTTCGTAAGATCAGCAAATGAAGAATATGTTTTTGGAAAAGAAGGAAAGTCTTCCACATTTGAATATTGAAAACAGTGGTAGTACATTTAAGGTTCATATTGAACAATTTTACTTCTCTTCCATTATTAAACTGACACATCAGTTGAAACTATGCTTCTTCTCCCCTTAAAAAATAGGAAATAGTGAAAATTCCATTCATGAAAACCGAAAACTGCTCACTTTGGAGCAATATACGAGCATTTCTTGTTATGGAGTGTACAAAATAGTTTGAGTTTTTGAGGTGGACACCAAAATTTGAGGTAGTAGAGGAATATCTACAAGTTTTTTCTGAGTTCAACTATCTATCTACGATTACATTGAAATCATTACGACATATCACTACACCTTTTCGGGTACTCTGAATTACCGCAAATATTCACCTAAGAAATGTTGATGTCTGAAGACTTTTCCATTATTATAAACACAAAAATCATTCATTCGTATGAGACGAAAATGTGGCCTTCTGATTTCTGATATGTTTAAGTCGCTCAAGAGAGAGGTATATAATTATTGACACTCTTCAGTTGCAGGAAGCGAAGCTAATAAAATACCACCCAAATCTGGAGCACCAGGTAAGCCAAAAATATATTTTTTGATATTTATTTGAGTCATTTTTTGACTCATCTGATCATCATGAAACACATTTATTACTCAAAATATAAGTATCATATTGGACTGTACTAGGTGTGCACTGAATGAAGTGAATTTCTCATAATAATGTCAGTATTTGTAATGTGTAACTTATTTGAATTGGATCAGAAAAAAGACCTGATTTTTCTTCAACGAAACCAGTTAGCTCCAGAGTATACTAAAAAAAGTCCAGAAAATTCTATCAAGTACCTATCCATAGACCAGTAACTTTGAATATGAGTGGAAGTGTGTGTTTTTGTACTTCAATGACAACCCTTGAAATCGAAAATTATGCGATGCAGAGATTACCGGGGTCTCATCTCTTAAATAACGATCACTAGCAAAAGTCCTTTCGAACTTTTTTGCCATCAAAACTATGTACACTCATTCCTCAATGGGTGTATGATGAATATCATCTTTGTAGTTTTATAGTTAGGTTATGAGGTCACTTCACCAAGTACCAGAATCTAGTAAAGCGCGATTCGTCCTTTGTTATGACACCAAACTGATAGTTAAAATGGTTGAGCATCTCTAAAGATAATGAGTATTGTCTCCACAAACAAAGATAATCAGATGTGTAAGTTTTACCAGAAGAGTCTCAAATTGTTGTTCAATGAGAATTGAATGTACTCATCAAACTCCTTATGAAATGAATGTTGGTTTTCATTTTTTCTTTAATTTACTTCGCCAACAACCCTGATTGTCTTTGCTTCGATCCATATAGGCTACAAATCTTTTAGTATTGAATAAACAACGACCAATGTTAACAAATTTTATGATACTTTGTGAATTCTCAAGTCAAATAATGAGAAACGTTTTTAACGATAACAAAATCTGTTTGGAACAAACATTTTGAAAATTGATTTTCTGAATTGTTTGACAAGATTCTGCAGAATGTGAGAAAAGTAGACGATAAATTGAATTGGATCAACTTGATACATTCAGAAATAATCGTCACAAGAACTTCATAGATAACAATTTGTCTATTAGCCCCTTTGCGAAAGTTTCATTGAAACTTGTGATATTATTTGAAAACTTCTAGAATAATTTCCATTTGGGAAGAGCTTGTCAGCTCCATGAAAAATTCAAATCCACATATATGTTTATAGTAGACATTTTCTACTTGGAAGAAAATACGTGATTTTTTTCTTCATTTTTCATGCATATACTCAAATAAGTTGTGAAATGATTTCATTTTTGTTCTATTTCGTAAATGAACTTATTCTTTCATTAGTGCTTATGATATCTAATAGATTTTTTTCTCAATTTCAGAGGCACCCAAACCACCACAACAGAAGCCAACACCACCAAAGTCATCTCCACATCCTGCATCATCACCAAAGCCATCTTTCCATGAGGATGACAGTTCTTCTTCTTCTTCTTCAGGTAATCAGAAAAACAAAAAGAGAATGAAAATACCAAGTAGTTGTATCACATGTCGGAAGCAGCGTTTTCTTTCGGTTTGAAACAAAATCAGACAAATCGAAGTCTATTTTTGTTCAAAGTAGACGTAATATGTATAAATATTCTTAGAAACTAAGGTTAGGACTGGTAAGAAACCAGTAAGTGAGATCTTTGATCGAAAATATTACGGTTTGAAACTTTGGAACTGTCGAAATCAAGTGAAAGAAATGAATCAATGAGTCGAAAACCTTATTGGATTATATTGCTTGAATATCAACACAGGTGAAAATATACAAATGTTCGTAACATCTGGAGAAAATTTCAACACTCAGAACATTTTGTAGAAAATACTAATAATGGTAATATTCAAATACGGTATAAATAGAGTATACCTAATTTTATAACTCCTGCACCGAACAATGAGACAAGAACAAATCAACGATATCAATTTTTGTATTGATTATAATTGATGATTTCTTCTCATCGTTACTGTTTTCATCATATTCAATAGGGTTCTCGTTCATGTCTAATTTCATATTTCGGTAACTTAGCATATCATCGTTTCAAAGGATCAATTTTACTGGCAGTTGTCATTATTCCTTTCCATCTTGGTTTATCCAATATGTTAGTGTCAATAACTCATAACTGAAAAAAAAATATATTATTATGATAAGGGATGAGCTATGAGTAATACTGATATATCAAAAACAGCATTAACTACGCCCTATCGTAGAAGTTCCTCCCATCTGCGCATTTCCTTTTGAAGACGAATTTTTTCATGCTCTAACTCGAAATAATATTTATTTTAACATTACTTCCATTGCAGAGGAACACTCAAAATTACACCGCCTTCTGAGAATAGTTCCACATGGTGTAGAACGTGTTTTGGGTAAGACATTTTCATAGATATTGATATAGCAATTATGATGTGAATCTGAAATCAGGAATAAATTAGTTAGTTTTTGAAAGTAGAACTTCAAATTAGGAAGTATTTTGATGGCTTCATATAATATGAATTGAAATGATGGGATAACAATGATTGAATGTTAGCTTGATAATCCACTTCATCAACAAATTCAGTAAAACTATTTTAGAAAATGTTTACCTTAGTGTTCAAGATCACTCAGTGTTGCCTAAATGATTTGATAGTGAAAGAGTATTTTATTAGGATTATCAATTTCAATAACAAATTGTGTTTCATGAAGTTGTATTTTTTCAAAACTAAAAATTGCTTCCTTGGCCAAGTTTATAGTGTAATTTTTATGATCTTCTTGAATTTTCAGGTGGAAAACTGGAATTCGTTTCAGATGCAATTGAAGATGCAGCTGACATCACTCACGGTAATGATTTGTGTAATCCACATATCAGATAAGAGAAAAAGTAATTCATTTCAATCAGTAGTTGCATTGTTGAGTGAGCTTTTGGAATTTTCATTCTGTACGGCATTCAATGGCATTTTTGAATAGTTATTAGTTTCATTTTCTACTTTCTGTAGCTGAAAAACTTTGACTTCAACTATTCTGTGTTAACACTTTCTACTACACAGGTTTGATTTTTCATTGGTATTGCTAACATCACACTTTCACCTTGAAAAACTGGATTTTGACTTATGTTCTTTCTTAATTTTTCAGATATCATCAAACAAGGAACGAATTTCATTGCTGATGCAGCAGACAAAATACGCCCACATGATCATGGACACAAAAACTGATTGCAATGATTTGTTGAAACCGATGTTTGATTTCTTGTATTCTTTCGATTGATAGAAAATATATTCTGCAAATTCAAATAAGTAAACTGATTTTTCATCAAGATCCCACATTCATCCCCAGTTAGAAAATGGTGTTGTTCATGTATCAAGGTAGGTGTTGAGGCCCTGACAATCTTACAAACTGCAAATCTGTTGATAGCAGCAGCAGTGCATACAAACGTTCATGTAATTCTAGCCCGATATTTCATTCACAATACTCAGTTTGAAAAATACGCAAATTTTCAAATCATAATGTAGGGCTGATAATCGTTGCTGAAGGTATTCATTCGTTGAAGAAAATTATTTTTGTAGCTTTCTAAATCAGAAATCTAAAATGAGTAAACGTTTCTGGGTTTTTGAAAAAATTTCAAAAACTGGATGGCAGAGAAGCATGTAGAACATGTTGATGAAAATGTGCTACTCAGTTACTTCCGTAATATCTGTGAAATATGATCCATAAAAGCTCAATGATGAATTATTACAATCCATGAAAATACAAAAATGAATCAGTGTGACATGAAATCAGTTATTATCGAACGAAAAATCAAATACTTTACAATTTATGTTTCATTTTAGGGTCGTTTGATGTGGAACATGTAATTCTACAAAAAAGATTTGAAGCTTTATATCTTCTATTGATTATCTGCGAGCCCTTTCGACAGTTGGTAGTACTGTCATCATCTGGCACTCCTCAAACTGAATTGGTCATCCTGTTGTCTGTCTCTTTATACGGTCAAAGTGTCTAAACTCAGGCATTTCAGGTACTTTAGGTAAATTTGCCAGTATTTGTTCTGCATCAGGTAATCTTCTGCGTGTTAGATCTCCTCTAGGAATGTGCATGGTTTTGTTCAATATATTGAATGTGAGAACATAATTTCCCCCCACCAGAGAACATTAAACTGATAAAACAAATCAACAAGGGAAACCGCAATGACATTTGGGAAAACTTGAACATCCATAAATTCAACAGTCATAAATCACTTATCGAGGAACAAGTACAAATCAAAACACAACAAGATCCCACATTCAATATATTAAACAAAACCATACACATTCCTAGAGAAGATCTAACACGAAAAAGAGTACCTGATGCAGAACAAATACAGGCAAATTTAGCTAAAGTACCTGAAATACCTGAGTTAAGACGCTCTGACCGTATTTTCTATCTTTCGTCGATGCTGTTTCAAAAGTAATTTATATTGTTCGTTAATGATTTCATCAGATTGGATTTTACTGATGTGAAAAATATCTCTGAGTAATTTTTCTTCATTAATGATCTCCTTAGTTATCCAAGGTTTATTGTTATTAGATTGGTTTGATGTAATTCCTGAGGACAGGCTTTATCGAATAGGTTGAGAATTTTTCATCAGCATAACCGTTTTTGGAGTATATACATAGCCAATCCTCACGAGCCAATAAAGCATTCAAAAAGTGAATGTTTTGATCACAGAAGGATCTTTTAAGAAAATAATTGTTTATCTTTACAGTAGGAGAGGTTATTGGTAAAACTATACATTGAAGTGCATGATCCGAGAAATCTATGTGACTGACGGTGGAATTAGAGATATTGGATGTAGAGGAAAAAATATTCTCCACCGTAGACATGCTATTGCCCTGTCTTGTGGTTAACTGACGAGAGATGTCAAAATGTGTTCTTATAGAAATATTGAATTCGTCTATTTTATTATGAAAACAGGACAGTTGTACAAAACACTTTATGATATTTGTGTTAAAAGTAAGTTTCATTTTGTTCGTGAAATTGCTCAATTCGCTACGCTCGTTTCACAAACTTTTTCACTCAAACAAAATAAAACAATACCTTCAACACTCATATCATAAATAGCTATTGAAATATCCATGAATCTCAATGTATTATAAGAGAAATATCCCATTATCTCTATACCTGAAAATCATGCTCATATGAGCACATGAGTCTGTATCTATTTCCTCAACAAAAAAACAATTCTGTGTCGTGACGTGCGTTTCGCTGACAAAGTTAGCATCACCATGATGGTTTTAGCCATCTCCTGATGAACCCAATTTGATTAGCAAAACGCGCACCAAGAGACACCGTTTCTGATCTGTTGAGAAAAAGTGTTTTCAATAGATTTATTTCACGTCAGAGGTTCCAAATTCCAATATATGCAACTAAGTCTGCGATGGTATGAAAACATATATCTAGAAAATCATAGCGACGTGAACTTTAATTAATACATGAAAGCTACAAGCGTAACAGATAACCTTCAGCAAAGCTAAACTCCAACATTTTTGTTACAATAACATATATAATTGATGACACAACGAGAATAAAATATGTAGACACAGAACTAGGAAATGAGATCAATCTAAACATCAAAATTCAAGCATCTGTGATAATTGATGCTCAACGTGAAACATGAATATATTTCTCTAGATTACCAATTGGTTCGGTGACATATTCTTGTGACTGGGCTTCACTGATTATTTTAGTTGACTAGAGACAAAAATGAAAGAATTACTGACCCTCTTTCTTCTAGCTGACTTAGAACAAATCTTCTGTTTCTACTACTCCGAAGCCGTCTGACTTGTCTATTCCTCCCGAATCTTGGAAAAAAACGTATTCCAACAATCCTGTACCCTGTACTAGTTACAGGCCCCTTGCTTGATTCATGTCAACAGGTTATCTCTGTCCCTTCGTTGCAGTTGAAGTATCCGTTGTACAAACATATCCTGTTCACGTGGCCTCTCAATGAGTGATACCCAGTGAGTAGTTCTATGATTGTTCTGAGCCGATCACCGCTTTGTTGGATCAGTTTTTCAGTCCTCTTCTTGGAAGGCCTCTGTGTTCTCGGGTATGTTTTTCCAGTACTCCCTATGTTTCTAATAGAACTTTCCGATTCAGTTCCATACCAAAGCTTTGGTACCCTCACACCTCGTTTAGGGCCTGTACATGGAGTTGATGATTCTTGTCTGATACACTCATCAGCACTTTCGTTGTCTGCGATGCCTGAGTGTCCTGGCAACCAGTATTTGGTTCATTTATTTCTTTCCGGCAGTTTTCTCAGCCTTCCTCTACTGAAATTAAAATTTTTTTCGACACAGTATATTTTAGCTCCCGCTTCAGGTTCGGTTTCCAGTCCGTCTGTATACCAGGTGTATTTTATTTCCACTATGACTGTCCACTTGCTTCACTTCATGTTTTGAGACTCCAACCAGGGAGTTTGCCTTCTTGCCTTCTTCATTATCACTAAATCTAAAGGAAGAGAAAGATCCATATGCAGCTGTAGAGGTGATTTTAATTACTTTCGTTGTTTCAAAAGATGCTAATCTATGCACCCCGCCTAAGTTGTTGATTTCATCTTCGATCACCAGACCATAGATGCATATGTTATCATGCGTTCAACCACCATGGTGTAGAGCCAATATATCATTTATTGTTTGAGTCTCTATGTCATTTGGTAGGTGAGTCTGACCAACATCAGTGACACTACTGCATTTCTCTCAACTCTTTCTAGATGTTCGTTCTGAATCAACTTGGGATTTAGTATCACTCCCAGATATTTGACCAGACCGGATTTTTATCTTCGCCAGGAAGTTTCAGAGGTCCTGAAACTATGGTTGTCGTGAAGAATACTCCCATGATCGATTTTGTTGGGCTTACGTTCGCCCCTTTTTCGTAGGTCTATTCAGTTGTGATATTCAGGGACTGGTGCATGTGCCCTTCTACCATATTATTATATTTGCCGTTGACTAGGATACATAGCCAGTACTTTGTGTAAATTATGGTCCAGAAGACGTGGCAACTTGTCCATTACAACATTTAATAATAGTGGCAACAAATTCCCCTTTGAGGACAGCATCTTAATACTCGTGTTACTACTGTCTCTCCTATGATGATTTGTATAACATTCTTCCTCTAAGCAATATTCACATAATTGTTGATTGCAGAGACGTATCATTAAATAAGCTCTCTATGTGCAAGGGAGCAGTTGAAGGCACTTTTTTGTCCTTTGAAGCATATTCTGCTCTTTTCGTCACCTGGCATAAAGCTGTTTCTGTCGGCTTTTGCATTCCGTTTTTTATTTTGTTGGCGTCTGAACTTTGCATATGTGTCGGTAGTGGAATATTTTCATCTCCATCAATGGGGGCTGTTTGGTATATACTTTTTCTTTGGAAATAAGTTTCTCTAGTTTGTTAGATATATAATAAAACCTATTCATTTCTCTCAATTTTCATTTCTGTAGCTGTCGACTCTAGCTGAACTTTACAATCAGCCTTTCCTTTTGATATGGACATTTTTGGTTCACTGTTGTTAATGACGATGAATGTTTCTCTATGCTCCATATTTTTTTATTTTTTCAATGTTTTATGATAATGAACGAATTGAAAGCCAAAAAATGTTGTGATAGGAGTTTCTCCTTCTCGATATCACTCCCTTTTCCAGAGAGAGAGAGGAAGACTGATACCTGTTCCCGTGAGTGGAATTCCATATCAATACTCATTTATTCATTACGTTGATTTATATTTCATTGTAGGAATTATATTATGATAAGTCACTGACTGTTAAAAAAAATTAGGAAAATTTCAATTCTTCGATTGATTGATTGATTTTATTGACAAAATGTAGTATAATGTATGAATAATACAGACAATTCTTGAATTTTGTCAAAAGGCAGAATTCAGGTTCTGATTTTATGTTTGATCTGTTTTTTTGGGATATTCTGCAGGATTTGTGATCAGCCAGAAATATGTACTGCTTTTTTGAAATTTCTACAACCTATATCCCATATTGAAGTTATCAGGATAATTTAAGGTAAAGAAATAGTATCGGTGATTAGGCTTGATTGAAGTAGGTACTCGTATCGAGTTATTGAATTCTGAAATTCTCCTTGCATCATCTACATATTGTATTCCTCTGCTCTCGTTATTGTTTTCACTTCACCTGAGCAAAAACTGCATGTCCAAATTAACAAACTTTGTCCAACCCAGATTAATAATTGAAATTCATATTTTTTGTTCAAAATACAATATGTAAAAGCACAACATAAAAATCTTCAAGACCTGTTTCGATCTAGAAATGACTCACGGTAACTATTTCTCAACTTTTCTTCGAATACATTTCACTTGAATGTGAATCATCTACTTCAAACTTCCTAGAGGTTATAAGGTCTCTAAAAATATTTCAATCACAGTAATTGGTGCTAACATAAAGCTGTACCAAAGAGTGAAATGCGAGATCTTCATCTGGAACTCACAGATACCAGATGTTTAAGATTATGAATTATTCCTGGGAAGAGTTTTAATGTAAGTAGAACTCGTATTTCAATATTTCGAAACTATATCAGTTTATGAATAGAGAAACTTCTTCAAAGACTTTCAGAAATAATTCAATACCTCAAAATAGGACCATCCCGGCCCCGCAATTACTTCCAATTAATAAGTCGTATTAATTAAGGTTCAAATTGGAAAAGTTTTGTGCTCTGAGCATTAATTTGTATTTGCAGGGAGAAATGTTGAGTGGAAAGATACAGTTCGGAAGAAAATTGTAATATAATCACAAAGACGCAACATTCACAATAAGCAAGTTATTATTCCATCGTCATTCAATAATTTCACTCGTGATGGTGAAACACAAAAAAATTGAGAGTTTGTACATTGGAAATTATTGATAAAAAACGATAATTTGACTAAAGAGTGTGAGCTCTCACAGCCGGAGATAACTGAGTCGGCTACTTTCATAGTTTCTGGCCATGGTCAGTTTTTTCAAAAGTTCCTTACATATAGTATTCATTGAGTACCATTGATACAGTTGAAATCGACATAAAATATTACAATATAAAACAGTAAATAATAAAATGGCAAAAAAAAATTCCAGACACATTTGAGCATTCGGAGGAGTTGTCCTTCTGTAATACTGAATATATCCAGTTCACAGTTCCTCGCCATTTTGTTAAATGTTTCGGAACATTGTTGAAGAGGAGACAAATTGTTTGAGATACGAAATAGATTGTCTCTTCTTCTCAGTCTTACGTCAGGTACAATGAAATCAATAGTACAGAGAATTTCAGGTACTTTCAGTTTTCTAAGAATGTTAAAAACAAAAATAACTTCCGAGGACTCACTGCGGTCTTTCAATGGTTGCATGTTATATTCTTGTAATTCGCTAAAATACAATATAAATAAAAGCCAAACATTGTGCTTTCTAAAAAAGAGTGTTCTTAATAATCGTTTCTGGAATTTTTCTATAGTTTCAGAATATAAAAAGGTCATTGGATTACAAATGACACAACCATATTCCAGCTTAGAACGAACAATGGAGTTGAAGAGTAACAAACAAGTATTGTGATTTAATTCACGGCTAGATCTAAAGATAAAGCTCATTTTTCTATAACATTCAATGTGCCCAGAGAAACTGAACACACCAGTGAAAATGATCCCGAAATCTTTCATCTAATTGATTGTCTGTAAATTGGTATGCTTATTGAAATAGTCCTTGATAGTAGGTGACTTCTTTCGTGTGAAACTTATCATTTCACATCGTTTAGAGATAGGTCAGATACTGAAAAGTAAGTAGATAGATTATTGAGATCATCTTGAAGCAGCAGAATCTTTTTCGCTTTCAATTCTTTCAAACAGCTTGAGATCATCAGCATATAGGAGAAATTAAGAATGCCCGATAAAGTGAGAAATGTCATTAACAAATAACACGAACAGAAGAGGTCCCAAAATCGAGCCCTGCGGAACTCCCAAAGTAGCGGTGAATTTGAAGGAAGATATGTTGTTAAACTGTACGAACTGTATTCTGTTGGATAGATAGCAGTGAAAGAAATGAAGTGTGTTGTTTGTGAAACCGAATGCTTTTAATTTCAGGATCAAAACTTCGTGGTTAACTCTGTAGAATGCCTTGGCCAGGTCAGTGTATATAACGTCTATTTGATAACCATTTTTTATTCCATCCGTAACAAAGTTACTAAATGTGCATAAATTGGTAATGATAGATTTATTACGAATAAAGTCATGCTGTTGGTCGATTATTATTGAGTCCACGTGATTGTATACTCGATTATACATTACCCGTTCAAATATCTTCGACCTATAACTGAAACCTTCAACATTATCACCAGCTTGTTATGGGTCTGTAGTTTCTTACATTGTTCTTATTGCCGCTTTTGTGTATGGGGGTAACACTGACAATTTTGAGAAAGCTCGGAAAACGATTTTCTTTAGGAGAAAGATTGAATATCAATGTCAGTAGTTGCTTTAACAAGTCACAGAAGGCCTTGAAAAAGTAGGCTGGAATGCCATCGATTCCAATGGCTGCTTTGGGTTTCAGTGTCTTGATAGCATTTTCATATTATTCACCGGCGTCTCCGGATTCATTCCATTGGTTGTAATTTCGAGTCCTAAGCTGACTTTCTCTGTTTGTTTGAAGGTGGTTGACAATGTTTCATGGTGCATTTCATTAGTTCGAACTTCCATTGTCTAGTATGATATAAACTGATTTGAAATTTCTAAAAGTCTGTGAAAAATTAAAAAATTGAAAAGGTTGGCTGAAAAAATAACAATTATATCAAGCAAAAAAACTGAAATTACAATGAAATAAAATACAAGTAATAATCAAAAAAGCAAAAATTGAAAGATTAACACGAAATGAAAATGAAAAAATTATTAACAGGAAGGGAAAATTACAAATTGAAAGATGCCCAACCAAGTTACTTTCCGACGTTTCGATTGTTAGTATCCACAATCGTCTTCGGGTGATAACTGGACTTATTTCCCAGAGATCTGACTATTTGTAGGTCACTTGAGGGCTTTCATCTATCCCCCCTTCACTCTCTCAGCTTCATCGGTTTTAGCGGAAGCTGACCGTTTGGCGGGGGTTGGTCGTGTTCCGCTAGATTAGAGGATTCCATATGTTGCGTATCTCTACGCTAGCTTGGCTGAATGTGTTGTTGGACAACATATATGCGGCTTCTTTGAATTTCCTTCTAAACCATCGTACCTCCTTGTGGATGATTTCAGCTTTGTGAATGATTTCGATGAAAGCGATGAATTTTAAAATGAACTCATTAGAAAAATTTATAGATTATGCAAAGAAGTAACTTTCATAAGGATTATTCTCCCAGCGTTTCGGCAAAGTCTCATTTGCCATTGTCTGGTGATATCTGGAGTTTTTCAACTAGACTAGTTGAAGCTACTGGAAAATATTTTCATGAAATCAAAAGATAAATAGATAAGTACCATTCTGATCACTCCCACATTGATTTCAATTTAAGAGCCACGGGTAGACAGATGTTTCAACCTATTGGGCATCGTCAGTAACGGGCAAGCGGTCCTCGATTGAAGACAAAATGTGAATAACCAAGAAAAGTACTCGATAGAAATAACTGCGTAAACGCAAGCGACACATAAGTTGAACTACCAATTGGTGTGACATCCAAATCAACTTACCAAGTTTCTATGTCAGGATGCAGTTGTCGGTTGATTTGTCAAACCACCAACACTGACATGAAAACTTGGCAAGTTGACTTGGATGTCTAACCAATGAGTGGTTCCACTTATGTCTCGTTTGCGTTTACGCAGTTATTTTTATCAAGTACTTTTCTTGGTTATTCACATTTTGTCTTCAATCAAGGACTGACGATGCCCAATAGGCTGAAACAGCTGTCTACCGTTGGATCTCAAATTGAAATCAATGTGGGAGTGATCGGTGATACCATATTCGAACCAACCACCAAAATTCCATTTTAATACCAGGAAATATAGTCAGAATGTGTTTTGACTGACATGAAGTTAATAACAATCATGCCAGAGAAATAATAGGATGTGTAAAAGTAAGATTCATATTATTTTCAAATTTCTGAACATCACGTTTCAAGTCATAAATGTGAACAGCTCACTTTCTTTAATAAATCAACCACCGTTTTGTTCATATTACTTCAGATGAATTCTCCAAAAATTTTTATCAAATACTACAATGAGCATACTTTCTCAATCCTAAGTTGAATATCTGTTTTCCGTTAACTAGCTGCCGCCCTCCTACGAACGACAACTCTCAAAAGTCGAAACTTGTGCGAGCTGAGGTTCAACGAGGTCTCACCTTTCAACGTTTGTTTTCTAACACGGGTTGGACAATGGGAAGTGGAAATCGATCGTCCGACCTTGTGGTTTGAACCAACGGTTCACACAGCAATGGAGTGTAGCAAACAATCCACGTCAACCTAGCAAACTACCGTCCCAGTCCTCATACTATTTAAACTTGCAATTTTTTGCCACATTCATTACTAGCAATGATTTTTCACGTCTTGAGAACAGAAACTTCAGCTAGAAACTACTTTTGGTATATAAAATATTTTCGGTCCTAATAAAAAAAAAACAATTAATTAATGTCACGTGAGGATCTGTTATTATTTTGACCACAGATATTACATCTTGACAAAGAAAATATTGACATATTTCAGGATTTTGCGACGTTTAGGACAATTTTTGCCATTCTTCAACTTTCCATGGTTTGAACCAATCAGTACCAGTGTCTTTCGAAACCACAGATAGCCTCGCCCATTTTTGCCTGAGATAACCTGAAAAAAAAATTCGTTATATTATATAATCATCAGAAAAATAGATGAAAGTTTTCAAAAATCATTCCAGTGCTTCATCAGTTACATTTCATTGGTTATGAAATGTAAAATAATGTGATTTCTTGAAATGTGAAATGTGTTCATTTTCTGAATGTAACTTTACAGGTACAAATCACTCCTGTGATGGAAAAAGCATCAGCCTCCATTAATTATCCAAGTATATTTTCTCTGAACTGAACTAGAGTCATTTGAAAATTTACAAACCAAGTTCAGTTCAGTTGAAAATCAATCGAAAGACTGCTAGACTCATATGGGGTCTTTCATTAAGCGCTTTCTGTCTTCAGATTTGAATAAAACACACTGTGTGTGAGATATCATCGAAATTCATCATTCGTTTAAAAGGCTAATTGATGCCATTATGTGTGGAATATAACATAGTTCAGATGTCCAACCCTCCATGCCTCTGGTGAATAAATCAGGCTGAATTTGACCGATGGCATGAATTATGCTGTCTTTGAGAATCGATGTGGTTTGTGGGTTATTCGCATACACCTATGACCTCAGAACATCTCAGAGAAAAAGTCTAACGGGGCCAAATCGCACGATCTCGTTGGCCAACTCCCATCACCCCAACGTAAGATGACCATGCCCTCAAATCGCTCGTGTAGAATATCCAACGGGGTATGAATTGTTTGGCATGTAGCGCCATCCTGTTGAAACCACATGTCGTTGGGGTCCAGATCATCCAATTAAGATCAAAATGAGTTGATAATCATCTACCTATAGTGCTCGCCGTTGACAGTGATAGCCTGGCCAACGTCGTTATCAAAAAAATATGGACTGATGATGCTGCCAGCTCAAAATCCATACCAAAGAGTGACACCTTTGGGAAGCATTGGACGCTTTTGGATCTCGTATGGATTGTATCGTAGCAAATTCGATAATTTTGATAATTTTCCGATAAAAATTAGGGTCTGTTGCGAACTTCTCCAAAGCCCATCCAGCGAACACACCTCGTTGTCTATGGCCGTTTATCAGTTCTTCTGTCAGTTGAATTCTGTACAGATCCAGGCCTACTTCACGACGCAATATTCGCCAAGTTGTGATCTGCAAAAGGCTGAGTTCCTGTGAGCGACGCGTTATCGACTGGCTCGGATTCTCTTGCATACTCCCACAGACAGTGGCGATGTTTTCAGCAGATATTGCGTTTTGTCAATGTCAATGTGAGGGTATTTGTCGATCGTTTACTTAACCAGTGGACTCAAATTTATCTACCACATTGCGAATAGTCCACATGGTAGGATGATTATGGCGACCGTAAAATGAGAGAAACGCGCGGTATGTATCCCGAAAAGAACTCCTTTTTTGATAAAACAATTTCATTATTTGCACATGTTGTTGAATGATAAATCTGTCCTTGATGATTTGGCAAAGCAGACTGAATAAATGACAACTATTTATTTGAAGGTGGTTGATAATGCTTCGTGGTGTATTTCATCAGTTCGGACTTCCATTGTCTAATATAATATAAATTGATTTGATAACCCTGAAACAAATCAAAAAGATTAACTGAAAATAACAATTTGATTAAACAAAAAACTTCAGTTACAAAGAAATAACATACAACAACAACCAAACAAATAAAAATTGAAATATTGATAAAGTCTGAAGAAACTAAAAATATTATCAACATAAAATGAAAAAATAAAAATTAACACAACGTTTCGATTGTTAGTATCCACAATCGTCTTCGGGTGATAACTGGACTAATTTCTTCGAGATCTGACTATTTAAAGATCATTCGAGAGCTTTCACCTATCCCCTCTTCCCTCTTTCCGCTTCATTGGTTTTGGCGGGAGATGACCGTTTGGCGAGAGTTGATTAGAGGTTTCCATATGTTACGTATCTCCACGCTAGCTTGACTAAATGCGTTTTTGGACAACATATACATGACTTCTTTGAATTTTCTCCTAAACCAGTGTTCCTCTTTGTGGATGATTTCAGCTTGAGCCCACTTGATGTTGTGTTGATGTGTCCAAACATGCTTTGCTATTCCGGATTTGCTTGTTTTCTCCTCGCTGTGTGTGTTTTTTGTGCTCAGCAATGCGAACTTTCAATAGCCTCTTAGTTTCACCGATGTATGATTCTCCGCACTCGCAGGATATCCGGTAAATGCAATTCTTGGAATTGCAGTCTGCGTTTGGTGGCCTGGTTTTCGTGAGGCTGCTACGAATAGTGTTTCCAGATCTGAAGCAGGTCCTGATGTTATACTTGGACCCAATCTGTCTTTTCCTTTTCGATAATCCTCTGATGTAGGGAAGTACAAGTACTGGTTGTGGCGGCTTCACTTCCTTGTAGAGTTCTTGCTGTCTTCTAGCTGAAGTCTGTTCTACCATCACTTTGGAGTAACCATTCCGTTGCAGGTCATTTTTGAAGATGCCTAGTTCCTTTTCGAGACCTTCCTTTGTATCACAGATCCCAAAAACATGGTCCAGTAGAGTCTTGATGATTCCTCTCTTAGTCGTTTGATGGTGGTTGGATTTCTGGTTCAGATACTGTCCTGTGTGAGTGGGTTTCCCATTTAGTGTCGGTTCTCTTCACCCATATGTCTAAGAAAGGCAATTCGTTGTGGATTTCCTTCTCCATTGTGAAAGTGATGAAAGGACTTACGTTGTTGATGTGCTTCAGGAAAATGTCTAGTTCTGCATTTCCATGGTTCCGTATTATGAAGGTGTCGTCTACGTATCTCAACCAGACTCGGGACTTAACAGGTAAAAGTGGCGATCCTATTGGCAGTCCCTCATCTTTCGTAAAGAATTCGTCCTTCAGTTGGAAGTAGCAGTTTCGTACACAGCATCCTAGTAATTCCATGATTACTTGTATCGGTGAGTTTGTTCTATCTTTCAGGTCCACATCTTCGGAGAGCTTCTTCTGTTCGATTCGAAGTGCTTCTTCGACAGGAACGTTGGTGTAGAGGCTTTCCACGTCGAAACTGATGAGTTGATCCTGCTTTTTGACTTCGATTTCTCCTAGTAGGGTTATCAAATCAATTTATATTATATTAGACAATGGAAGTCCGAACCGATGGAATACAAATGACAACTAATTTGACTTCAGTAAGATGGCCATTACTAATTGTCGAAGTTCCACAGTCCCTGTTGAAAAACCTTATCGAATCGTCAATCTCATTCATTTATTCTTTCATTAATTATCCAAAAAACTATCACAGCAATGAAAGTTAATATAATCCTAAGAATAGTCATGAATGTATAAAAATAGTAAAATATGTACCAGAATTGTAGAGGGAAATACTGCATATGGTAAATTCAACATACCTATGTTCCAAATTTTTTTTGCAGAATACTGATTGGGAAAGTGTCCAGTGAAGATCTATTGATATATTCAAACAATTAACTAACTTTAGTAAAGATATTAGTGATGCTTTCGATGCGGTACTTACGGTTGGAATATTGAACATGAGCGAAAATCGGGTGCTAAGAGGGTGTAAGTGAAATGGTAACATACTGAGAAGAATCAATGTTGTTATTCAAGAGTTTGTGCATGAATATCATTGGTGATAATTGGCGTCTCTGTTCTAAAGATAATATTTCAAATTCATGTCGTAGATCCAAAGACGTTGTTAAGTTATAGTTTGGACACTGGTGATATCGCTTGAAAAATAAATACCTCAAGAATTTGTTCTGAAGTTTCTCATGTTTATAGGACCAAAAAGTTGAATGATAATGTAATTTATTTTTTGTGAAATCAACAAAAATTCTAATTCGATAGCGATAAAATCAAAAACGAAATTAGGAAAATAGATATTAAGGGATGAAATTTCGAAACATTTACCTTTCCTAATGTTTCTGCACAGTAGAATTCGGTACAATCCTGTCGAAAAACAACTTTTTCATAGGCTATGGACATCGAATTAGGTATATCTGACAAATATTTATGGCGAGTAGGATAAATTCGTAGAATATTTTTAGTTCTTTCAGCAAGAAAAATATGCTGAAATCAATCCAGTGGATCACATATAGACCAATTTCGAGATATAACTCCTCATCAGTACAGAAAATATCCGTCCGAAACAGTAATGTACCTGGGTCGCTAGTGATAGCTCCAACTCACGAAGAAAGCCGCAGGGTAGGGAAGAAATATACCATGTACACTCAACAGATATCAAAATATGCCTGATGACTGTTTCGAGACGAGATACAAACGTATGAGAAAATAAATATTTCGAAATAGAATATCAAAATATTCACCTCTTCCAACATTCCCACACAGTAGGATCTGATAGATGACTGCCGATTCACAACTATCTCCCTGGCCGATACCATAATTCACATTTCATCCGACAGACATATACGCAAGTTATGCCTCATGGAATCACAGATCAGTTTTGTACCTAAATAATAATTTCACCGAAGAATGCGCTGGTCAGGCCCTATTGTCCGCGCCAGCATTATCAACCAATGACCACTCCCAACAACCGTGGGGTAAGTGATCATTGGGTGCGAGAATCATGTGCCCTGAGAAAGCGCAGTGAGCCAAGGATGATAGTCTTCTGCATCTGTACGGCTAAGATTTATGCCTTAGTGCGGCAAGCCGGTGTGATTTTAAGATTGGAGAGTAGAAAGGACATCATTCCATCAAGAACTCCAATATTCAGAACAACTATCTTGACAGAGTGGTCTGGATAAAGTCTGCGGAGTTCGAAGAGAAAATATCGATATTTTATCCGTTTTTCCTCCTCTTTTCGGACGATATTCGTCTCGCCAGGAGCTGATGGATTTCGATGGATATAGGCCGAGACCGCATATGCTGGACATGCTGATAGCAAGTGCATTAGGGTCTAGGGCACCTCTCGGCATGCCCTGCACCTTGTATCAGGTATCTCTATGCCCATCACGCAACTGCGGTAGACTAATGTGTTGAAGACACCATCCAGGCAAGCCATGATGAACCCCTCAGTTTCCGACTCCAGCCCACTCGACCTGAGAAAAGCGAACGTCAGGCGCTTTGATAAGCCAAGGTCTCCAATTATTATTATTATCATTTTCATCATTATTGCATTATGTATTCTTTATGTTGCTTGACTTAATTTATTCATATACACACGCATTCTTAAATTTCCATAATTTCCAATGTTATAATCTGGACTTTGAAATTTTGGGGATTTATCCCCATTTGAAATTCTTAGAAATTTTATATACCAAATAGATTCATATTTCTTATGCTAAAAAATTCCCAATAATCATACCTCTCAAGATACTTTGTGGGTTCAATGAAATCCTACCTGTAGGCATTTATATCTAAATCTAAGCACCATTTTGGAAAATAGAAATATTTGAGAATTACATAATCTGAAATGTATGTATATATTTTTTTTAAGTCTTTTGTCATTCTAAATAGTTCACCATTGGAAAAACAGAATAATTTTGGTTGTGTCACTCAGCTATAGTGATTCATGATATTTTGTGCTAGGTACTGAGTACCAAAAAACATTTTTGGTCTCAAAAAAATTCGATTTCTGGAAACTTATTTTGTTTTATCATCGTGAAGTATTATCAAAACATAAACCAAAACAATCATATATGATGGGATTGGCCGATATACTTGATGAAAATCCATTATTCAAGTAACACTTGATATTTTCACTGGACAGTTACACCGCAACATATTTAGTATGAAAACGCTTGAGCAAGCCATTGTATAGCGAGGCACGTGTTATGGTTTTGTAAAGTGTCTACTGAAAATCCCACAATAAAGTGTAAGTTGAACATAAAAATCATATTCTCAAAAAAAAACAATGAAAGCAATGAGCATGAGTAGTATATTGTGATATATTTTCGTATAGAACTTTACTGTATTTCTTATATGACATTGTTGAATTTCCTCGGAAATTTCTGTGAAGTAGATTGACTTCATCAATCTCAGAGGAAGAATCATTTCATTCTCCATTTTCCTAATTTTTATGAATTGAACAACACAGCGAAAGCGTCCAAGATATGACGAAGAATGAAATAACCTATATTGGGGAGAATGAAATCCTGACTTTATTTATTTATTACCGAATCAGGCTATTTCAGCCTAATGACTTGGAAAAATAAGGTACATTATAATTGTGTACATGAAATATTATCTATATTATACCTACTACCTTAATATTTAATCAATGCCCATACATCTTCAGGATGTATGTAGGTAGGTAGGTATGTCTGAAGTGAGTGGTTCTATTCGACCCTCCAATGCAACCCAAAAGGATTCATTGTGGCTCACACCTATTCACATTCGGCCAAATAAACCCAGCTTCTTAACGAAGCCGATTAGTTTGTATGGTGAGTGGTCTTTCAGGTTAGATGGTGAGAGTACGGATCTGCCGAACTCAAAGAACCTGATTCTGTCACCAGCGGGGCAGGCACAAAGTATATGCTCTGCAATTTCATCATTTTTCAGACAGAGGCGACACACACTGTCCAAGAGTCCAAGTCTCCGCATGTGAGGATTCATATGACAGTGACCTGTGAGAAGGCCTGTTAGACATCGTAGTTCATCCCTACTGTAGTCCAACAGCTGTTTGGAATCAAGCTTCGAAGGGTGAATAAACGCCTTGGAGTGAGCCAATCCTGGAAGTTTCTGCCAGAAGTCCATAACTCTTCTTGCCATCCAGGTGTTAAGAATTTGTTTGACAAAGCCCAAAGCGATGCCAATGACAGGTTTTGGTCCAATGAAGCCGCTTGCAGCACCCTCCTTTGCAAGAGAGTCAGAAGCTTCATTGTCTTCCAGGCCAGTATGGCCAGGAATCCAGACCAGAGACAATCTGTTTAGTCTTTCTATCGAGAAGAGTCTTTTTTAGCTGTTTGCTACCAATTTAGACGTTGCTCGGTGGGAGCCAAGAGCTTCCAATGCCGCTTGACTGTCCGAGAATATTTTTATTGACTTGTGAGTGAGGTTGGATTAATCCAATCTCTCCGCACACAATTCAATTTCCGCTTGAAATACCGTCGCATAAGTTCCTAGGCAGGTAGATAACTTAGTCCTGGGTCTGCGACTGAAAACACCAGCACCAGAACCGGAAGGTGTTTCTGATCCATATGTGAACCAACAACTATCTGCTCTCAATATTTCCTTCTCCCGCAGGATCCAGTCAGGATGTAGGACAAAAGTAACAGTGGCAAACAAAAAGTTTTTGATTGCACAATTTTTATTCGACCAAGTCCTACCAGCGCAGATTTTGTTCTAATGAAAGTATTTTATTAGGAATATCGATTCCGAAATGAAAATATTCCATGTTTTCCTAGTCATTCCAGAAACTTCATAAGAAACTACAATACTGGGGGATATTTCTGAGAGAAAAACAAGTTTACATGTATTATGTCACTCAATGGATTCCAATGAACGTTCAGTTGGATTTGAATTTTCTCGAGTTCAATAGAATGAAGTTCAACGGAAAGTATACCAATTAATCTCGAACAAATGAAATTTTTATTAGTCAGTTTAATAGTCTCTCACCAAATAAACTCAAAGGCGTCCCGAATGTCCTTTCTGCCGAAGCACTACCGTTGATTGGTTTTACTGGCTCCGTATCTATATCAACCTTACGTACGGCGGCAATACCTGAAACATCATTGACATTTACTTCACACACACACAATTTTTATTTCTGAATCTCAATTATTTGAGAATCGTGTTTTTAACATATATAATCTGAAAAGAATAAGTTCAGTTTTTTCTCCTAATGCGGAGTAAATTTTAAAATTGTTCTTGAATGGCCCCAATAAATATTAAATGACGTTTTTTCTAATCAACTGAAAATCATATATCCGTCATCTGAATACTCATTACAAATCCTTCTCTGTCCTGTCTGATTTTTGTTGACCAGTTGTAAGCTTGTAAGCACAACAATTTACAATTTTCGAAGTCATTAAATCTTGAAGCAAATATTCTTACCAACGTGGTTCAAACAGAACTGGCTGGTATCTCAACTGCCACAAAAGGAATAACCAGGAAAGGAATTTCTGGCAAAAATATAACATTCTGCACTCATAGCAGAAAAGCCCTATTAGCCTTGAACAGACAACTTGTTACCTCAGCGCTAGTACCAGAGTGCCACCAAGATTTAACCAGAGCCTCGGTAGTTAATAATATTATCCTGAGGTGGGTTGAAGGGCACGATAGTAGTGAAGGTAATTGTATAGCCAACTCTATAACCAAGGAAGCGGCTGGACTGAGAATTTCAGAACCCAGTGGCACCTACAGCCTGATGACTTCGACAATTGCGGAACTAGCCAAACATCACACCTATGCTCAATCCCTGAAGAGATGGGATGAAATCAAAGGATGCAATCTTGTCAGGATCACCCTGAGTGATCCTGGGTCCTGGCGATGACCAGGACGCTTAACAGTATGATTTCTGACTGGCCACTGTCAAATAAGGAAACACCTCCATAATATGAAGCTAGTGGAGACACTTCTTTGTAGGATGTGTGAACAGGAAGATGAAACTGTCAGGCATGTGCTATGCGAATGTCAGGAGTTATCGTCAATAAGAGAGTGTGTGTTCATCGAGTCTTGGCCTTCACCTGCTGATATGAAGGAGATGTATCTTAGTGACCTGTCCACTTTCCTGGAAAGAACAGGATGGTCGATGACCTAGGTGGTTAACTCCTCGGGAGGATATACAATGGGTCACATGTGGTCTAAGTGCTATGGGTCTATATACACCCTCCCTATTCTACAGATACAGATACGCTATGAACTTTTTACAATCCTCACCTCTGAGATCTGTGGAAGATATACACAGAAAGCATAAATGACAAAAACTACTGAACGTTTGATTTACATGAGGCAAATCTATAAACCTGAAACTTGTATAGCTGGCGGGCCAAACAACGTTCAGATTTCGAAGTCACATGAGCAAATACATGAAATGTGGTGAATCTCGATTTTTCAAACTCAAAATCACAACTTAAAAACGCCAAACATTTTTTCGATATGAGCAATCCAAAGCTCAAATTCCGCAGAACAAAAAACACGCCTACTCATTAGAATTAATGTATCTATGAAATAAATCAAAAAAATAAATCAAAAGCAGTACGCTGAATCAATAATTTTGTTAAACAGTTTGTAGACCAAACAGATATCAAAACAGTTTCTTCTGAGCTCAAGGTGTTTTGATTTATACAATCTTAAACTGTGCCGTTGTCTATGAAATCGGTTATTCAGAGTGTTGATGAACTTTCTCCGGATATTTTTAATTATTTTGGTGTGGATACTGTAGCAGGATCTCCAAAGTTGGAGGTGAATTGCTTCTGGTGAAAAGGATCTCATTTATTAGGATTCAAGTCCTAGTTTGTTGGCAATGTGTCACTATTTTTCGGGTTTGAAGGCCGTCAATTTTCGATTTTTTTTCTTGATGTTGCGCTGGCGCGACTGGCTAGCTTTTAGGTTTATAAATCCTGAAAGTATATCCGATGACGTATCCAGAATGTATGGACCTCTGAAGAAGCTGAAGAAGCTGGCCTCGCACCAGTGAAATGACAGAAAGAAATTCCAAACATCCACAGCCTTCGAACTCAAAAAATAGTGACACTGAAAGCCTTGGCCGCGAAAGCTTCAACCGTTTTGCCATTATCAAGAATATACAGTGATGTCGTTCAAGAGAATATTGCAAAGGAGTGGTTAAAGGTGAGAACCCTGAGGAACTCCTAACGTGACCGATAGTAGCTCAGACTTGTGGTGGCCACAAATTACCTACGGCCAGTCAGGTAGGAGCTTAACAGGTATAGGAGGTTACCATGTGTACCGAAATTTCCAAGCTTCACGAAAAGTGTCAGATGAACCTTGTCGAAAGGCTTAGAAAAATTGGTTTACAATACATAGGTGGAGACTTCGTTTTCCTCAGATTCTATAACTTGTTGGATGAATGAAATTGAGATTGTAAAAATAGATCTTTTACCGTAAAAGACATGTTGATGAAGGGTAATGCTAATTTGTTTTTGAAAGGAGAGATTTGTGCCGATGATTGTTTGAAAAAATTTCCTCGAGTGGTTCAGTAACGATACGGAACTGTAGTTCTATTTTAGTTCCTGAAACTATAAGAAACCATTCATCCTCAAACTGAACAATTTTCGCACCATTCGGTTATGCATCTGATGATTTTATCAGAATTGAACGATTCCAATTCAATAACAAATATTTCACAAATTTTACGATAAAAAACAATAAATGTATAAACTTCAACAATGTCAAAACTTCAACCAACACATTCTGCAGTTACAAACCACAAATCTTTAATGAACACGTAATCTTTTGAATATTACTGGAGTTTTATTCCAACACCAAACCGTATTTGTAACACCTCAACACATGTTTCAATCACCCAGTGATCATCTTCAAAAGGAGGACTAAACTTCCTCTTATAGATGATTACTTGGTGATTGAAATCTGTGATCAAGAAAAACCTCAAAAATATAAACCTGTAACATGTTCAATGAGTTCGAAGTCAATATTGTTACGAATAGGGCAATTGTGGCACTGTCTGTCAACATAAATCATGTTCACGAGTTGTGACACTGAATGTTTCTGAATAAATGATATTCATCAACTAGTCTAATCAACAAGTTCCAAAACATGAAAAATAGAGATAAAGGTCCTGAAAATATGAGCGATAGCTCATTCAATTCAGAATCACCTCTAGAAAAATGTTTTTGAAGAATTTTGGTGCTGGTAGAAAATTGTAATTGTTATTAACAAAATAAGATGAAAAAAAATGGCATTTACTTTTTCGTTATTAACTCAAAAAATGTTAATATTCAGGCAATTTAAAAAAAAAAAGCTCGTTGAAGAGGAGGAAATTCTTGATAAAAAAGTCCTGACCCCCGAAACTCTAATGGGCGCGCTGCCGCTAAAGAGAGTTTATCAAAAGAAATATAAAATCGATTTTTTTATATTTCGATTGTTTAAATAATTAGTTAAGAAATAATTTTGCTTTTAAAAATCATATTTTACAGTTTTGAATAGTTTGACAAAAAAACAATTTGTTATAAACAAATATTGACCAACGTTATATTTTTTACAGTAAACATAGTTTGGAATACTCCTATTACTTTACAGTATGTTCGATAGAGAGCGCATCAAATAGGGTTTCTTTTGTTAGCAACTTCATTCATGATTTACTTTCGGTATCAGTTTCAGCATCAATCAAAATAAAAAATAACCAAACTAATGATCATACATAAAATTATACTAAGAACATGTCACTTTCAAATAATGTTCACTGAATATTCTGGTGATATTTTGAATTTATTGGAGCCTCCCGTGACACCCTGTATTTTATTCTATGAAAGAGATGACATTGGCTGATCAAGATCTTTAGATGATGTGCGGCAGGTTTTCCCGGGATTTCCTTCAGCTGAAAAAGCAAACGCGTCACTGGATTCAATCAAGTCGCCCCGGAGCGCCAATTAATTTTTGTTTTTTCATAATTTTATAATTTGTTTCACTTTCTTCTTCACCACTCCAGAAAATAATAATTTTTGATACGCGTTCATTTGTAATTTTGAATAGGTAATTATGAATTCAAAAATATTTTTCAATTCTTATTTCAATATTATTATATCATATGGAAGAGGGTTTTGGCATTTCATTTCTTATTCTTCATATCAAAGGAGAATAATTTTCCAAAGGAAGGAATAAAGCAATTGATTTCTCCTGAAGTATGAAATTGAAAAAATATTTCATTTCAAGGAAACTACTTTTTCAGAGGAACTGAGGAAGGAATTCATGAATTTTCTTTTGAATTTCATGATATATGATGAAAAAAAATGATTATCTGACACATCAAAATGTGGTCAGAAGTAAGAACAATTTCTTATGATTTCAAATCTAAAAAATATTTGAGATTGGAAAACATTGGTAGTACTCACATAATATGATAATAGTTATATTATCGAGAACTAAAAACCCGAAACCGAAAAATTGGTTGATTTCTGCCAATATTATTCTTCAATGATATGAAACAATCCTGATTCTGATCTCATTGATATCATTGATCGAAGTAAAGAAAAGCTTTTCTAACATTGACAATTTTCCACTTGGAATAAACTCTCTTATGTTCACCTGTATTTCAAAAATTATATGAAATGGAACATAAACTAGAATAACATTTTTCAAATTCACTGAATACTATGTAACGAGTAATGATTTTCGATTATAAGTCGAGCTTACCAGATGTCGCCATTATTGAAATTATGACAACCACAAAACAAACATAATTGAAATGTTTAGGGCTGTATTTCGGAAATGAACGAATACAACTCATATTTGATTTCGAATCACCATATGAAACGTTGTGTACCTTTTGAAAAACTAATTTATGAAGGATGTAATATTTTGATAAACACGTATCAACTATTCAGTGATAAACTAGCAATTCGTGAGAATTGTGACAATTGAATGTACGAACTTGTACACGTACGTACTCGGAAACTCTTATATAACTTGATAAAGTTTTCTAGTCACATGAGTATAACCTACTGAATCTCATGTACCGGTCATTATATTCAGAATAGAAAAGTTTAATTGATAAATTCAAGGAACTCATTGATGTATAATGAAAATTTTTTATCGAATTCACTCATACTCGTATTGTCCCAAATAATTAATTCTTCATAACTTAACTGGTCAGCAAAGACTACCCTCCTACTATAGGGTCTTCCAAATGGATTTTCGAACTTTGATAAACAAAGGTGTGCTTCATGTCGTTATGTGTTGGTCTTGAATTGAATAGGAAATCGTGTTTTTTTGTATATATAATTCAGTGTTCATAGGAAAGCGGTTGTTTCGAAAGTATTTTTTTTTTCGTAAAATTCAATGTTCATATGAAAGTAGTTATTTCGGAGGGATTATTCCTATCAGTTTGTGTCTGAAAGTTACTTCTTTGCATGATCAACTTATTTTGTTTATTTGAAGGTAATTGACAATGTTTCATGATGAATTTCATTAGTTCGGACTTCCATTATCTAATATTATTTAAAATCTCTTTGAAAAATCTGTTTTTCCGTTAATCAGCTGTCGTTTCCATGCGACAAAATGATTCGAAATTCCTGAAAGAACTAATAAAAAAGGAAAATTAAAAAAGAATAGCTGAAAAATTAGGGAATAACAGAGCATGTTTGGACCCATCAACATAACATCGAGTGGTCCCAAGCTGAGAGCATATCCAGGGAGGATCATTGGCTTAGGAGGAAATTCAAAGAAGTCGCATACATGTTGTCCAATAATGTATTCAGCCAAGCAAGCGTAGAGATACGCAACATAAGAAAACCCATAATCAAGCGGAAAATGGTCAACTTCCGCCAAAAAATCATCTCCTCCAAAACCGGTGAAGTGGAAAGAGGAGAGCGGAGATGAGTGAAAGTACTCGAATTATCCATAAATAGTCATCTCTCGGAGGGATTAGTCCAGTCATCATTGTAGATACTAACAATCGAAACGTCGAGAAGTAACTTGGCTTGGAATCTCTTAATTTTTTATTTTCTGTTCTAATATAACATCCAAAAGGCGAAGTTCAAAACTGCAGTGTAGAACATTACAGGTTTGTTCTACCACTTAACCTCCACAAGCTACGAGAACTGGCAACAACAAAAAATAAATAAAACAAATACAAATAAAAAACAAAAAAAAATGGAAAAAGTAATACATTATACACCTGATATCAATCAGCATTCCAATAACAACAACAAAAAAATATACATATGGATAAAGTATTGAGTATTTAAGTTTGTTTACCTAATAGTTCAATTTTCAATTTTTGCCAAAAAATACCTATTTTGAAATGTTTTAAATGAGGGGCAAGTTTATTGTAAACTTCCCCCCTATATATTCATTTATCGAAAAACTAACTATTTAATATAACAATGATAAAAATAAAAACAACAATTAATAATTGGCGCTCCGGGGCGACTTCATTGATTCCAGTGGCGCATTTGCTTTTTCAGCTGCAGGAAAACTCGGAAAATCCTGCAGCACCACATCATCTGAAGATCTTGATCTGCCAATATCCTCTCTCTCATAAAACAAAATGTAGAGTGTCTCCAGAGGCTCCAATAAATCGCCAGAACACTTTGTGACACGACTATAGCCAAACTAAAATCAGTCCGTTGCGTCTTCGACCAAGGCGTAATAATGACCAAATTCAACGCCAGAACCACAGTGAACAATGACTGCATGAATATTATAATAATGGTCTGCTAGATTCAAATGTTCATCTATTTCGAACCTTCCAAAGAGTTTCTTGCTTCCGTCAGAGGTTGAGTCTTGTTTGAAGATCATCAGTGTTATTATAAGATTGACTGGTGCCTCAGCTATACTTGTTTCCTTACAACAGTCAGTTAGTTTGGCGCATGTTTGGCAATACAGTCGATCTTTACCTGTTAAAGATTCAACAATAAGCTTTGCACGGACTGGTTATTAGTCATATTAGGAAAAGCTAGATGAAGTTCCAGAAATTCATATAAGTTTTCGCTACCTCTTGAACATTCATTACAAAGTAAAGAGAGGATTTTTCCAGAAAAAGATTTACAAACACAAGACGAGATGGACTGTACGGAATCATTCAATCCAGAGCGGTCAGGAGTATTGATTTTGCTATCGTTTTGCTCACGAATGGTATTCAACAAGAACCCCAAGAATTCAGAACAATTTTTTTTGGTGTCCTAATGAGTATCTAGTGGACTTCAAAGACTCCAGGAAATCGGTTGGAGAGAAAGATGATGCATATTTACGAAACTGCAGCTGCATGAACTACACTTGTAAAATGCTAATCATGTAGCAAGCGTTTCCCAAATTATTCGATCCAATTTTCTTCTCTAGATTTTCTGGACAACTCCCTACTGATTTGTAAGGAAAAACATGTTTCACAGAATCTCCATAAGAACCATTTCTCAAGCTGCGGTCGATCCTTCCAAGTGAAAAAGGGTTTCGTAGAGGGATCAATTCGGCTCTTGCTTCATGGAGCTCTTCATGGAGCTCTTCCACTGAAAGGGAACCAGAACTACGAGGACTGCAACTCATATTTAGGGGGCAAGAATGACCTAAGTCCATTGACCGCACTGAATGAGAAGGAAGTGGATCAATCACTTGTGAATTAACCTTGATAGGAGACTGATGAATATCCACATATCTCGGCTTGTTTCGAAGAGATTTCAGTTCCGTACTGAAATTAGGGCAATGCATGATCTCATCAAAATTATGTGTAGGAGGAATTGTTCCAAGGACCGAAGCAGCATTGCCACGTTGAATAGCCATACTAATAATTTCTATCAAAAAAGAGGTAGAACGGTGATCTTTCGTTGCTTGGTCTATTCTCCTTCCGAGTTCATGTTTAATTGTATATTATTCCATTGTTATTCTATTTCAGGGTATTTTTCTCAATATAATTGTTATTTCCATCTACTCTTTTTTTATTCTTATTTTTTATTAGTACTTTCAGATATTTCAAATCATTTTATATAATATCATACAATGGAAGTCCGAAGTTTCGCACATTTTTGCATTAAGTTGTCTCGCTAATGAATATAAGTTGAATCACAGACTAAAAAAAACACTTTCAAAATACGCATGAAACCGTTATCAACTTAATCGGGTTAATTACTGCACACCAAAATTTCATCTGTAAGTTGATCAATGTCACGGCAAAGCTCACAATCAGATTAGGTAACTAGGGTCAGAAAGGTTTTTGCCGTTATTAACAAATTAGTTCTGCCAATTGCAGTTCCGAAGCATTAGGTCTGTACGAGGGCGAGCGCGATAATGGTTTTTGTATAATTTCACTCCACCTGCAATTCACATAATGTTTACCTCATCTGTTCTGGAACAAAGGTCAGGAACGGCTTTGGAAATTTATGAGAGTTATGAAGACCGAGTTGATTCTTTTGATGAAATGACGACTATTCACTATCAGATCTTATTATCTTGGTCTATAAAATTGAGTAACACAGAGTCACCAAACAAAACTGAAAGAGACTTGTCACCAGGATCTGTAAGAATATTTTAGCAAATCGCAACAACTGTTAATTTTTTATCGAAGAAGGAAGGTTACTATTTTCCGGTATTTTCGAATTCATCTACGTCAATCTGAAATTTTGGGAGCTTCAGTGATTGAGAGAGGACAACATTCATTTGGCAGTCAATATCGAAGCTTGGCTTTTCAAGTGACCGCCATGTGAAGCCTCGTTTGTCTTTGAGATTCATGAATCTAATCTTCTATTGATCCTATAGATGTCATCTATAAAGAAGGAATGGCATCGCCATTCCTTCCCAACCAATCGGGATTCAGTGTAACATCAATGATGATACCTTGGCTAATCGAAACAGTACTGTTTGGTTTTGATCACGAACGCTTCGTTTTATGGCTCTGGTTTCGTCTGCATGTCTCCAACTTTGTTTTGATTTTGAAAATATACTCTTTCATGACCTTTGAAAGCCCGAAATCTCAAATGATGACGTGTGTTATGAAGTAGGCTCTATGTCACAATTCAATACGAAATTCAAAGTGAATTCATGATGAGTTGGACATAAAGAGTACTTTCATTTTTCTAGTTATATAATAACTATACCAAACCATATACTAATACTGAACCATATCAGTGTGACTACTCCAGAATTATAATTAACTGAAAGCAATATTCAGCCAATTGACGATATCACCCAAATGATGAAACGTTTGAAAAATGTTTGGTGATTTTGGGGAAGATAAACATCGAAATCAGCAAAGAAAAATTCAATGTGTACTATAATTCGTAATTCTCTTCAGATTGTGAAATATGCCTTTATTGGCAGTGCAACATTCGAAAGAGAGTAAAATTATATATGAGAACACATATATTGAGAACCCAACCAATTGCAGTTTGACGCTGTTACCATCAAATTTTGTGTCAATTCAGAAAGAGTCATGATCTTGTCTAGAATCAACACTCTGAACATAATAGAGTTCACTTAGAAGACTGGCAATTTCTATCAATCTTAGTATGAAATCGATGGCAAAATCTGTTGCAATTCGATGGCACGAACAAAAACTAGATGAAAAAAAGTAGACAACCACTGTATTTCAATAATTTCTTGTCATTTCAGGAATGTTGAAGATATTTGTATTCTGATTGAATCGGCCGTTACTTGATGAAGATCCATAGTGAAACAATTTGTTCGATTCATGATCAACTCATTTTGTGGAAATTCATATTGAATAGACTGAGTAAAAATATTTTTTTGAAATTTGCTAAACTATCAAGAAATTTTATCCAGTTTTTCAGTTTTTTGTATTCTAAATTCAAAATATATATTATCAATATTTTGTTGGACAAAAATTATTAGAAATTATTAAAAAATAAAGACATGATGA